TAGAAAGGAATCTATCTTGCTCAACTCTTCCAACACTTTCGGGATTTTCTCGGCTTGAAATTGATCAAAATCAACCATCTCTTCTTGCACTCCCCAAGTATGTTTACCTTTGACCCCATCAACATGACCCTCATCAATGGAGATCGTTGACTCTTCTTCATTCATCAAGGTACCTATAAATCCCAAGTCAACCACCTCTTCATTTGGAGGACAAGTCTCATCAATTTCAGCACATCCACAATTTCTACCAGGTCACTCCCACAAGTGAGTTTCTCTGTTCCCTTGAGTGAGTATGGTGGTGGAGGAAGTATAGGTAGCGGCTGCAGTACCATCTCCCTTGGTTCAGTTTCTACATCATTGTCCTCCATTGATGAGATTACTTTCTCATGAGCTTCTTGTCTCTCTCTTCTTGAGTTGTTGTCAGTTATAGTTTGGAGATGAAGACCCATTCGTTCAGTACTTTGCACAAGCTCATTTAGCATATCTTTCATCTCTTGGAACTCTTTTTGGCATTGTGCTTCTTGTATTCTTTGGACTGCCAAATCTGTTCTATGTCACATCTGCAACACTTCTTCATAATCTCTTCCATCTCGATTCGGCACTGTATCTCTTTGTCCTCATAGCAAGAATACATTGGTGGAGTATAATAGTTGCAATCCTACTCATAAGAGTAAAAATCATTAGTTGCATAACAAGGATTAAAACTACTATAAGGTGCACAGTGTTGGTTATCATTCCAATCATATGAATTTTCTATATATGAAGGATAATCTGCCATCAAACTTCAGAGTTGGCACACTCTTTTCAAATCAGAAAATTAAAAGAAAAGAAACAAAAACAAAGAAATGGTTAAAAGAAGTTTTTCGCCGTCCCCGGCAACGGCGCCACTTTTGGTGGGTTGTCGAAACTCCCAAAATAAATTACCCACTTAAACTGTAGATAGGATAAGTCAGGTCGACCCCACATGGACGGGTTAAACTTTAAATAACCAGAACACGAAATTGGACAAACAAAAAAGAAAGTTGCAGAGTGTCACTCACTTGCACGAGTGGGTAAAGTCACTCAGGCAAGTGACTTTGCAGAACTGAAGACAAAGAAAGACAAATAGAACCTCACTCACGGGAGTGAGAATTCCGACTCAAGGGACTGACTCTGCAAACTAGATATTCATTCTCTTTTCCCTATGTAATCAAGCTGTAATGTTGCACTCTTTTGGTATGAATTCATGCTCATTCAGGCATTTATATATCTCTAAGTCACTTCCGATTTTTCCTAGAGGTATCTTTATCAACTCAATTAAACTATTTTTCAATGATTAATCAAGTCATAAAGTCATGAAGTTTTCAAACCTTATATGAATGCTTATGCTAACCAAGTATATTCCTATCTCAATTAGAACCTTGGATTGTTACCTCCAAGTCATAAGTTGAAGCTAAATGATTCTGAACCTTGTTTACCCTTCCGGGATTCACTTAGTTCTATGTACAATCAATCAAATGGCCAATTTAATCAAGAGGTAGATGAAAGCTTTAACTTCAAAACGCAAAATCATCCGAATGCAATCACAAACTTAAACTACATAGGTTCCAGAGAATGAAATCTAATTAACTACACAAACAAACTACAGAAAATACAAGAAAAGAAGGAAAGCATTGAGAAGAAGCAAATCTGGATGACTGAGCAAGAGTGACAAAGGTCACTCAGGCGAGTAAGGTCTGTTACTCCTCTTTTTCCGCTACTGGACTTCTTCTTCCTTTGGAGTTTTCTCCCCTCTCCGCTCTCTTCTTCTCTCTCTGTGGTGTTTTGTGTGTTGTATGTCCACTCAGATCCCCCTTCATGCTGGGAATGCTGCTCCTTTTATAGAGTTTTGAAGCCGGTTCTTCTTCCAAGATAGCCTCCCCATGCTTGTGAATTATTTATTCCTCCCAATGCTTTGTGTCTTGAATCCGAGAATTGACTGGTCAATTTATTCCTCCAAGTCATAAGTTGAAGCTAAATGATTCTGAACCTTGTTTACCCTTCCGGGATTCACTTAGTTCTATGTACAATCAATCAAATGGCCAATTTAATCAAGAGGTAGATGAAAGCTTTAACTGCAAAACACAAAATCATCCGAATGCAATCACAAACTTAAACTACATAGGTTCCAGAGAATGAAATCTAATTAACTACACAAACAAACTACAGAAAATACAAGAAAAGAAGGAAAGTATTGAGAAGAAGCAAATCTGGATGACTGAGCAAGAGTGACAAAGGTCACTCAGGCGAGTGAGGTCTGTTACTCCTCTTTTTCCGCTACTGGACTTCTTCTTCCTTTGGAGTTTTCTCCCCTCTCCGCTCTCTTCTTCTCTCTCTGTGGTGTTTTGTGTGTTGTATGTCCACTCAGATCCCCCTTCATGCTGGGAATGCTGCTCCTTTTATAGAGTTTTGAAGCCGGTTCTTCTTCCAAGATAGCCTCCCCATGCTTGTGAATTATTTATTCCTCCCAATGCTTTGTGTCTTGAATCCGAGAATTGACTGGTCTCTTGCCCTTCTCCAGCACTGGTATCAACATTGATTATCATGGGCGGTTGGAAGTCTAACCAAGGGGACAAGCATGCCCTTGGATGGGACACACTCATTAAATTGTGCCTTGGAGATATCTTTGACCAGCTCAGTGTAAATTTGATTTCAGCAGCCTATTTTTTGTTCCTAAAGCCCCTCTTTTTTAGCAGTTATGCACTTGGGTCCTTACCTATGCAAAAATACAAAACTAGTTAAGCAAAATGAACTAATTCTAAGAAACACCCCTGATTCTCCATTAATTTCAGAGTAGATTGTAATGCTTTTTGTGTAACAAATTAACCATTATCACCGGGAAAAAAAATAGTTGACGTAGCGTTTTGAGATTTGTATACTTTTTTGGAATAGTGGGAATATTATATAGTTGGAGAATATAAGATTGAATTTTGTAATCTCTCTACATGTGATTCTCACATCATCTACTTTTGAGTTTTCTTTTTATTCTTCCTTAAACCAAATATATGTCATTTGTTTTACTCTCGATACTTCTCTTTCCCCTATTATTCCTTAACATTTATTTAACATTATTCTCCATCTTTTGTCATCGTAAGCGTAAAAGTGCTTACTGCTTAGTGATTTAACACTTTTGAATATTTTCCTTTCTTAAATGCTTGTATTGATTCTTAAAGAGATAATAGAAAATAAACGTCTTTATGTCCCCATTATTTTTACAAACATGTGAATAGTTGTGATATGTATAAAAACATTGTGATAGTTAGTTACTAATAAGAATGGTATATAATACTCCAGTTTGATAGTATAATTCCATTTCTTTATCCAGTTCGAGTTCAATATGCCACTTTCTTCCTTATCTTTTTTATTTTCCATAGCTCATCCCTTCTTCAATCATCATGGAAAGTTGATTACCATAAATTTATATCCTTAACATACCCCATCGAATTAGAGTTAGAGAGAAATAAAAGACTCCAATTATGGTCCATAAAGAATGAAACGCATTTTTTAATTGATGGTTTTATGAAAATATTAGCTAGTTGAATAATATATAAAATGCGGTGGATAATTAGTTGGCACATTCGCTACTGTAGAGGAAAATATGTCAATTTATTCCTATGAGCTAAAGCCAGAGATATTTTTATTTTCTTAAGTTCAAAACATGCAAGTCACACCAAAAAGAATAAAACAAGTGGCACTTTGTTGAGTGATAGGACAACCTGCCTGATCAGAAGCTTAAAGTGAGATATATTTTGACGGAGAAAGAAGAATCTATAATATTGTGATCTTTGCACTTATATCAAAAAATGTTTACTCTCCTAAAGTGATAGACAGTAAGATTAATAGAAGACAGTTGGTAGACACGATTGTACAATATGACTAATATTAGGTTTAATAAATGTAAAATACTGGAGATTATCGGCATTACTGCGATAAAATATGAGATCAAGATAATTAGAATCACTAGATGGAATCTAATCCTTAACAGAAAGTGATTTGGCCAAAAAAAAAAAATTACACTGGACAAGTATCTCACCTATATACTAACAATTGATGAAAAATGACAGCATCACACCACCAGTGAAAAGTTGTACTTCCATACGTGGAAATAGTGAAATTGACCAAACCTTTGATGATCTAATCATTGGTAAACTAAGAAACTCATGGTTCAGTGAAAAATGAATTATTGGCACGGAGGAATCACCCTTACTACATGTACTAAATAGAATTATTGACACGGAGGAATCACCCTTACTACATGTACTAAATAGAAAACTATGGTATTACGAAAGTTGTAAATATATAAAAATGAACTACCCTTACTACATAGAAAAAATTCATTGAAGAATGTATTGGAATAAATTATCAAAACAAGCTTGTGGGGATTGTTTAAACCGTAAATGTATTTGCGTTGTAAGGCATATAAAATTGGAATGAGTTGCATCAACCAAACTCCGTTGATGTTTCATACAAACAGTTTCCGTTAGTGGTTTATGAACGGTTTAGAGATATAATCGAAGTTACATTCTAAGAAAATCGATATTCTTAAGTTTTAATCTAAGGTAATGTCACACTTGAAATCATACTATAGGAGTATATGGTTTTTCTTGGGCAATATAATGTTTTTCTGGTTCTAATAATGGAGGGATGTGAGAGTTGGAGTTGATTCAAAATACAATTCAATCAAAGGGGAAAAAAGCCACTGAAGAAGGATTAAATTGAACATATTTAACAAATACGAAGGATTTAAATTTGCTTTTTCGAATATGGGATGCTAAATCATTATTTGCATAAAATATGAAGTACCAAGTCAGAAATTAATGATTCTTAATTCTGGCTTGCAGAAACATCTATAAGCTGCTTATCAATGGCAGAGCGGACTCAAATTTGAATGAATTCATATTCAATCCAACAAACTGATGACACTGAGCCTTCGTTTTAGGTTTCCCCCAATCCCTTTTCCTCACTGATAAAATTCATCTGCCATGGCTGCCGTAAGTGCCATTATTCCCGCCAACAGAGTTGGCCGGAGGACATTTACAACGCATTATGCAGTCGACCAACTCATCACCATTATCCCAACATTTGTTTCCCGTCTCCAGCACACCCACTTCCGTCGCCGGCTCTATTGTAGTGCCAGGTCTAGGTCAGCAATTATGAACACCGGTTCTGCCCCCGCCGCCTCGACAATGGTTGCGGTCAGGCAAGGCCCAGAACAAAGCACGAGACTGGTGGCGCTGGAGTATGCCGACCTTAATCTCACTGACAAATTTCCAGAGGTCAAATTGATGAAGAAAATATTTGAATTTTTCAATCTTTTGCCCCTGAATTTGTTTTCTTTCCTGCTAAGCTGGTGATTGATTCATGGAACTTCTGCTGTCATTGCAGGAGTTGGGCCATCTTCGAATTCGTCAGCATGTCAACCCGCTACGCTCAACTCTCATGGTAGGAGAACTTCTCTATTTTCAAGGACTCTTGATTGATTCAAATTCATTTCTTCTTTCCTTGAAGTTCTTTTAAGAAGTTGCTGAAGTTGAATTTCTTTTTAACTGTATGATAAAACTATTGCAATTAGGCAGGTTCCCGCTAAAGTGCCTAATTGGAATGAGGTATACGAGGATGCTACATTGCCTCTGATGGTGGATATTGGGTCTGGTAATTCCCCTGTTTCATAGTTCATACCTCCTCATGTTTGTGTTTCTCCCAGCATTTTGTTGCTGTATAGTGTCATTTCCCTGTGCCCGAGCAATTGTTTTTTTCACTACATGAAGAACTTTTTATTGAATTGTTATTGATTGCATCTTGTTAGTTGGGTAGGGAGGTACTTAAATCCAGATGATTTACAGAGCTGGCTTCTGATTCAAAATGTTTCAATTCAACCTTAAATAAATGTCTGTTTTGAGGGAAGGGGTAGCATGGATCCTATAGTGATTTCCTTTTAAAATCACGTTCTTTCTGGCATCTGAAACATTGGTGTTTGAAATGTATATGCTTTCAGAATGTGCTTTCATTTTAGTGTAGTGGCAGATGTTTAATAAAAAAGATGATACTTTGTCAAATCCTAAGACTAAGAGAACAGGAATTTGACTTTCTCCCTAAAGTTTTGTGCTTTGATCTCATTTTTACCACATCAATAATTTGATTTCCAATAGATGAAAATTTGCTGGTTGTTTTAGCCGATTTTTTATTTCTTATTGTATTTGGGCAATGTTTATTGCTATTTTACCAAATTTTTCCTCTGTGTGTTCCGTTAATTCTGATAGTGTAATCTGTCCAGGTACTGGCAGATTTCTAATGTGGCTTGCGAAGAAAAATCCCAATGCGAAGAACTACTTGGGATTGGAAATAAAACGGAAAGTATGGCGGGAAGTTCTTCCCATTTTTATGGTTAAAAGGATTGAGTTAGTATTGTTCTGGTTCCTTTGCAGTTAAATTGATTGAGTGAATGTGATGTTGATTCACTTCTCTTCATTGCTTTTATGATTGTGTTAACTGAGTTCTCTTAACTGAATATTATCTCCCTGATGCAGTTGGTTGACCGAGCTAATTATTGGGTTAATGAACTGGCTCTCAGGAATATGTAAACCTTCATCAACTTTCTCTTTTGTGTTTTGAATCGGAATCTTAATGGACTGTTCTGACTTAATTTCTGTAGCAGACATTTCATTTCTGCAAATGCTTCCGTGTCATTCAAACAACTTGTATCCGCATACCCTGGGCCTTTAATGTTGGTCTCAATCTTGGTACAATTCTTGCCCTCTGCTAGAATGAAAAGGAAATGCTTTTACTTGAAACTTCTGGAAAAACAGACTCTAACTAGATAATATGTCTTGAAGTTACACAGAAAATGCATGATGTAACGGTTTTCCATCAGTAAGTTTGAAATATTGTGGTGATCATTTGCAGTGTCCAGATCCACATTTTAAGAGGAAGTATCGTAAAAGGAGAGTTGTACAGGAGGCTCTGGTTGAATCAATTGTTGATAGTTTAATGCCAGGAGGACATGTAAGTCATGCCAACTCAGTCATTTAGCTAGCTGCTCTCGTGTAGATGGCATTTCTGTGTAGTGTGTACTGCTCCTGTAATACTGGGGGGTCTTTACATATCTGTGTCATATACATGATACTGTTTCACGACCTAGAGGTAGCTTTTAGATGACTGATCTCATACCACTGAAGACCAAAAAGAAGGGTAAATTCATTAAAATAAATCAATAAAGTTACTACATTTTGGAAGCCTACGTTACAGGTAATGCTTTCTACAAAACTGGAAAATTTCTGTTTTTGAAACTTTTGTGAGGGACACTGTTCTCCACCGAGAATAAAATTTGTGTTGAGAGAAACACTTTGAAGTATGAGATAACTCATTGTGGAGATTTTTCTTTTGTAATTTGATTTCTGAGGAAGAACCGAAACTTGTTTGTGTGTACCTATGTTCAGTAAGAACAGCCGACTTTTTTTGACAACCACTAACCTAGATAAAAAGGTTTCTACATTTTAACATATGAAGACAGCAATATTTAAGCAAACAAGTTGGTCAAAGTAAGCTCGTGTAGGATCATACACAAAGCAACTATTAAGCTTACTGTATCCACATCTCAGGCACTCGGATTATTTCTGTGCAGGTTTTCATACAGTCTGATGTACTGGATGTGGCTATGGACATGAGGGATCATTTTGATGCAAAACTAAAGAAGCTCATACACATCGACAATGTTGACTCCACCATGGAAATTGATGGTGATGGATGGTTGTTAAGTAATCCAATGGGTATAAGAACAGAAAGAGAGATTCATGCGGAATTTGAAGGTGCCAGAATATATCGAAGAATGTATCAGAAACTAATGTAGATGTCCTTCAATCTTTATTTGAGTTCAGGATCTGGTATTAGAGCTTCCTCAGTTGTTTTAAATCTGACAACGCATCTTCTATCTTGGGAGAAATTGCTAAGCACGGCCTCCGGAATCCCTTGGAGCTTGGAACTCCGTTGGAAGGAAAATCCAGGCAGTGGCCCAGGGCATGCTTGTCAGTTGCTGTGTCTCGTTGGAACTTCACATTTGGTAAGCAATTTTCTATTGGATTCAGTAGTATTATAACTTAAGCAGTGTCAGGGTATCCTGCTGACTGTGTACTTACCCTATTCGATGGCCCAACTAAAGAGATACAGAGAGTGAGGTTTCCACGTTCAGTTAGAGAACTCGGGGAGGGATTTGTTTGTGGTCTTGCACTTTTCCGATCCAATTACTGTGATATGAGGTTCTAGCTGGCATCGTATTAAAGCGAACTGTAACTTCGTTTTTATTACACTTTATTGCTGCTAAGACAAGTAGACCACAATGCATAATAATGTAATATGTATGCTGCAAATTACAAGTTCCAGCATGACCTCCTTTATTGACTACTGGAGTTACTTTGGATTATTATTCAGTTTCCACTATCATGTTATAATTTTATTATCAAAGGGAGGATGTCTTTCGCTAGGCCCTGTACATGATCTATGATTTGATTAAACTAAAACTATCTTTTCAAAGAAAAAGAGGGATGGAATGTCGGTCAATGATAGAAAAGAATTTTCAAAGCTGGTTTATTGAATATCTTTTCATAGCAAAATCTCAAGTCATGAGATTACAGAAAGAAGAGTTTCTTTGAAACATTCATGGTTGTTGATATATGGGTTAGGAACACCTGCTCCACCAAGATGAAATCACGAAAGATGATAACATCTGAGTTATTTTACCACTGCAGTTGATGTCATTTTTTATTTTTTTTTTTATTTTTTGTTTGCATTGATGTGCCATTCTGACTGGAGATAGGGGTTCACAGAGTTATCTGGACAACTTGTCTGATGTTTGCATTCATTTGTATTCTTCTTGTTAGACTAATTCAACTGTGCATGAGATCAGATCAAACTATTTATTGGTCGGGTTTTCTTATATGAACTTCACGCAGCACACCTTGCGCTGAGCCTCTGACGGGTCACTGATGGAACTACTGTAGATATAACCTTATAGAGAAAATCATTAGTTTAGGGAGTATTTGTGTCTCTTACCAATTCATGGTATAGAGGATCTTCGTTTTTTTAAGAGTTAACTTTGCAATATAATGTCTCTGAGATATGGATAGTTAGCGGAAGTAAACATAAAAAGATTTATTACTAAAAACTAGTCCATGTTTTATATGAACAAAAGAATTTTTATGGTCATCACATGGAGAAAGTACATAACTGAACTTGCACAATTAGGGAAACGCTAATGTCTAAAGCAAGTAATTAAGCAAAAACAGAAGATAAGGTGAAGAAAAACACTTAATATGGTTTCCGAAGAACACCTGTTTGGAACGAATCTTAAAAATAACTAGGTTAATTAAACCTACCGGAATCGAACTGAGAGATTGATTAATAGTTAAATCTCGCCAAAACCACAAATATGTTCACTCTCTCTCATTTTCTCCTTTTTTATGTAGATTCTTTTTCTTTTTTTGGGGGGGTAAAACTTTTTATGTAGATTCGAAATGATAAAAAGTTGGTATTCAAAAAAAAACCCCTATGGGCAGGGGAAGATGGAAAGAAAAAGAAAAGAGATTCACTACGAATGGTTCCATCAAAATTGTGGTTGACAGTAGAAAAACCGGATCAACTTTGCTAAAGAATATATTGAGCGCGGAGGGTATCATCATCTCCACAAATTACAGTATAGAGTGGAGAATGTTGACATTGTAATAAAAATTATACTCACACTGAATATAAATATTCCTCCAATCTCATCATAATCATCTCTTACATACTCCCTCCGTCCCATAATTATTGTCCAGTTTTACTAAAATGAAAGATTTTATTTTTGGTCAAACTTAACTATATTTTACTTTAAACAACTGGATATACCCCTGCATAAGTAATTGTTTAACCACTAAAATTTTATGGATAATGTTTTTTACTAAGGACAAATGTGTAACTTGATCCATAAAAAGTCAAATTGGACAATAATTTTGAGACAAAATTTTTTGGGCAAAGTGGACAATAATTATGGAACGGAAGGAGTATTTCACATACGTGCCCATCCTTTCAAGTTCAATTTTTAAAATTTAAACCTAACGATTTTAAAACTGATTGCCAATTTTATGGTCATGATTGCCATTTAAACATTGAAAAGATGCAGTAAAATCATGAGAATTTCGATGGGATTTTTCCTGTGTCAGTGTCATGACATTTCTCATTTCTCGTCGGGTTAGTGATTAAGGCTTTGTTTGTTTTCTTTTCTAGTTGTTTTTTCAGAATTAAATAATAATAAATGCCTCATCTCAGTATATATTTTTACATTTTCAATACACCTTTTTATATTCCCAATACAAAAAATACCTAAAAACATACACTAAAAAAACGACACAAACATACTCTAAGATTTTTCTTGTATATTTCTTTCCCTAATAAAATGGAAGAAAAAAAAAATAATAAGAAAGGAAAAGGAAGAAGCCTATTCGTGTGGGCTTAAAATACACGCTCAACGGCCCAAAGAAAACGCGTAAAAAAAAAACCACATATCAGTGGCCCACTTTCTTCATCTATAAGATTTAAGAAGAATTATATAAACCAGGAAGGTGGCAGTATATAATTCGGTGAAAGCTCTTCCATCAATTTTATAACTGTTGAAGCTGATACACGTTTCCAATTCCCCCCAACAAATATAGAAAGGTAAATTTTCCCCTCTTTGTTTTCTTTATTCCAAGCTTCTCATTCATGCAAATTTTTAAATTCTTAGATTGGATTTTCGTTTTTCTTGTTGATCGAAGCTCTGGTTGCTGTTTTCATTCAAGGTGGCTACAGAATCCTTCTTGTGATTTTTGTTCATCCTTTGGGCTTTTAAATTTTTTGATTTTTTGATTTTTTATTTTTTTGGTTCCTTCTGTTTTTCATGGTCTTGCCAAAGATTCTTTCTTGATAATTTTTGTTTGCTCTGTTCTTCGATGGGTTTTTCTTGTTTCTTGTCTTTTGTTGCATGTTTGCATGTTTCCTAATAAATAACAATTTACTCGATCATGATTTTAATAAAATTTTGTCTGGCTAATTTTATTCTCAGTCGATTATGGAGTGTTTTTTCCTATTGAAATTGCATTGCGTTTTCCAATTTTAACTTTTAAAACACGCAAAACTGTATTTTACGGTATTGGGTATTTGATTTTGTGTATCTGGCTTTTTTTTCCCCCTTTGTGTGTGTGTTGTGGTGGGTAGGTGGGTGGGGGGTTGAGGATTGCGTGGTTACATGGAATGGGTCTGATCGAAGCATTTTTGGGGAGGATGTTTGAATTTCCTCTAGTTGTGATTGTCAAGCTGTAGGGCTTTATCTGAAAAAATTTGATCACATGATCTTGATTGGGTTTTGGGTGTTCTTCATTTGGTAAACTCTGTTTTGATAAACATAATGTGTGGAGGCTCGTGCTTAATATGCTTGATCTAGATGGCAGATTGAGTTGTCCTGTTTGATCGATAAGTTTCTAAACCTGTGACAGGCAGATTGAGTCCATGAAGTTGTAGAAGCTTTGTTTGGATCTAGTATATAAGATGTGTCTATTCGTTCATCCATGGTCTGTGAACCACCCAGTCCAGAATTCATTGCTTATCCATACAGTCTAGAATCCATTTCTTTGAATTCGCACTTTTTTGTATTCTCTTTGATGATTATTATGAAGCAAAGTTCTGACATGTAACAAGAAACAAGGAATGGTTGGATTAAAACTGGTTTCACCGAATGCCTTGAAGCGGATGTTTTGTTTCATAATGTCCCCCACAGTTTCCAGATTGTTTGTATTTGAATGATACAGGAAGTAGTTAAATTAAGGTTGCTCCATTGAATTCAAAATTGATGTTTGTGTTTTTGTAACTCCTTGACTTTTGAATTAACGTGTTCTGATGACGTAGGAACTGGTGCGCTATAGTTCCTAAATGCCTTGAAGATGATGATTATGTCCATAAGTTCACATTTATTTTCTATTTGTTGCAGTTAGTTTGCAAAACCTGGTACCTCTTGCGCTATCTACAAATATGGGAGACAAGAAAGATAATACCCAGGACAGAGGGTTCTTTTCTCATCTTGCTGGATATGCTGCTGGATATCACCAACCTCCGCATGGAGCATACCCATATCCTCCTCCTGGAGGTTATCCACCTGCAGGCTATCCCCCTCCTGGTGGGTATCCACCAGCTGGTTATCCTCCTCCTGGCGGATATCCTCATGGTCCATATCCTCCCCCGGCTGCATACCCACCAGCCTATCCTCCCCATGGTGGATATCATCCCGCTGGATATCCAGGACCACATCATTCAGGTAGAGTTCTATTTTGAGGGAGAATGTTGGACAGTTAATCTGAAGTACTGTTTTCGTGTCTGCTTTACTCTGCCCTGCTGTCATGGTTCTTTCTTGTTGTCCTGTATTGGGCCTCTATTCTTTGCTTTTATTTTTGTGTGCCGAAGATTTGTCTTTGATGAAAACAAATATGGAAAATATCATTCGGCTGAAATGAAAATAATTGAAGCTTTGGGAGGATCAAAAGTGTACCTAAGTTATGTACCAATTCCGAGCTTAAACAATCATTCGAGGGCAGTATGTTGTGATAAAGATTCTTATAGTGTTCTGGAATTTTGATTTACATGGACTTGCTAACATCTGTTGGTGTTATTTCCTTTTGTAATTCAATATCAACACTGACTTTGACATGTTTTGCTTCCACATACAATCGTTAACCGCTCTTGTCCTTCTGTTTCTTTAAATGATTAGCTGGATATGATTCAAGCCAAATATCAGGAAAATCATTCATCTTGCCCCATTTATTTGTTTGTTACTTTGCATTCACTAGGTTCAACTTTTGCATGTCCTGTAAAGTTTGAACTGTGTTTCTAAGTGGATTTCTGACTTATTTTGTTTTTGGGTTGGTTCATAAAATGTCGTTTGCTGCAATGTAATTGGCGTATATTCCCTTCTCTTTCCCTTTCCCCGTTCCTCCTTACACTCCTTGATTACGTTTAGTGATTCCCCCATCCCCTGATCTGTGCTATTTTTTCTCTGATGCTTCATTTTCCAATGTATTTGCTTAATCAGCTGATGGCTGGTAGATAATTTGCAGTTATAAGGTGTTCTGTTTCGCAGTCTTTTACTAATGTGTAACATTTCTGCAGGGCAAGGTCACATGGGACTGTTAGCTGGTGGTGCTACTGCTTTAGCAGCTGCATATGGGGCTCATCAACTTTCACACGGTGCACACCACTACGGCCATGGTGGTTATTACGGTCATCATCATGGGAAGTTTAAGCATGGAAAATTCGGCAAGCACGGGTTCTATGGAAGGCACAAGCACGGTTTCTTTGGAAGGCACAAACACAAGCACGGTTTCTATGGGAAGCGATGGAAGTGATTTACACAGTGATAATATTATTGTGATTGTTTATGGCATTATAAGGATTTAGCTTTGTGGCTGTTATGCTTCTTTTTTTTTTTTCTGAATTCTCTTTTTGTGTGTAAATAAATTTGGCAAATTAGATAAACATTCCCTTTGAAGAAGGGAACCTTGCTCTTATCCACATTGACATATATATTGAATGCGGTTGTCACAATGCCTTCAATGATATTTCCTTCGCAAAGCATTTTGGTGTTAACGTCGGCAAGTCTATTGTTTTAGCATTTATCATCAGTCTCCAGCCCAAATCGAACTTTGACAGCCCAAATGGAAATGGCAACAACACAGTAAACTTCGCTTCAAGGCTATCTGAGCTAAAGTTTAGCCCTCATGATCCAACGCGCTCAAATTAATACTTGCAAAAAGAATTAAATCAAAAAAATGCGCAATTATTATAATTATCTGATAATGTGAATGTCCACGAGCTAGTAGAGTTGTACAAAAATTCTTTTGTATATAGATATTATTTATTAGATATCACCAGCTAGATGTTTTCTCTATTTGTTATTATCTTTGTATCTCCTATGCCTATAAAAGGAGAGGAGTCTATGCATAAATAATTGACAGATCATTCTCTCTTTCTCCCTTTCTCTATTTGTTATTATCTTTGTATCTCCTATGCCTATAAAAGGAGAGCAGTCTATGTATAAATAATTGACAGATCATTCTCTCTTTCTCCCTTTCTCTATTTGTTATTATCTTTGTATCTTCTATGCCTATAAAAGGAGAGCAGTCTATGCATAAATAATTGACAGATCATTCTCTCTTTCTCCCTCCCTATTGTTCTCTCTCCCTACTTGTTCTTTCTCTCAGCTTTAAAGCTTTGTTCTTCAGTTTATATTTATAACACGTTATCAGCACGAATCTCTAGCCATGATTTAAAAGAGTCTCTAGCAACGATTGGGAATCCATTGTTGAGAAGGTTTGTTTAATCTTCAAGGTTATAAATTTTCTTAAAATTCATAAGTATGATCAGTTCTATCTCCATCAAATTTAGTTGTTTCATTCATCTAGTTATAACGTTAAAGGGGATTTTTTTTGGAATTTATTAACTTGAATTACTTTTAAAGATAGAGTTTTTACAAAGAAAATTCTTCCCAATTTTAAGTATTCATATTTGCTATATTTAATTGTATCGACTTTTTGCTCCTGAAGTAGCAGTTTATTATTATTGTTAGACCACTATTATGATGTTGTTAAAAGAAATTACCATACCCTTGATTTGGGAATTTTCACTTCCTAAAGTAAGTGTAAGATTACTTAATTTTATGGTCTAAGTTATAGACAATGGATCTACTACAATAATATGATAGTCACATATAAAATATACTTTTTTACCCTAAGTGGAAAATTAATGATAAGGAAAAATCTAAAAATTGCTCCCGATGCAGCGATTTATTTTCTTGAGAAGTGGAAGATTAATGAAAAGAAAATTTTAAAAATTGCTCTTGAGGCAGCGATTTATTTTATAGTTAGTATTAAATAGACTATTGAGTTATATTGTTGAAAAAGAACATTCGTCTCGTCCATAGTCTGTTGTATTTCTTGAAGCAAATGCAACAACAGAAAGAATTGTTACTAATCACCAGAAGTGATAACTTTTTATGAAAATAAGTTTTACCTACCAGAAGTTGGGAGTCAATGATGACAAGAATGGAAAGAAAAAGAAAGATGGCGATAAATGCTTTCGATGTGGCATGATGAACCATTGGCCGCATACCTATTGTACCCCAAAATATCTTGCAGATCTCTATCAGGAATCACTGAAGAAAGCAGAAAAGAAGATAGAGACAAATTTCATACAGAATGATGTTGTTGATGTTAACCATGATTTTGTTGACAATGGTTTTACTGAATTTGCTAGTTTAGATGTTGCTGATTTCTTTGTCAATCACCCTGAAGGTGAAATCAATGCTGAAAATGTCTTTCAGGATAGAATGTTTCCCTTAGAGATAGGTTTTGATATTTTGAATTTGATGTAATGAATTTTATTTTCATTTGATGAATTTCAATAAAATATTTCCTATTTATGTTTATTTTATTTTCCATTACTTTACTTTTGTATTAAATAAAAAAATATTCTTATTTAGATATATTTTACTTTTGAAGACAATGGATGTCGCAATCAGCAATGACAAAGAAATATGTCTATCAGACAGTGCAACAACACATTTAATACTCAAAGAGAGAAAAAAAAATTTCATATAGTGTTGAAAAAACCCTATGTTAGTACAATATCTGGGAGTACAAAATTAATTGAAGACTCCGGAAGAGCAAATATAACACTACCTAGAGGCACTAAATTTTTCATTAATGATGCATTATATTCCCTAAATTAAGTCTCAACGAAATTTGTGAAGTTTTAAAATATTCGCCGAAATGGAAATCGCATAGAGACTTATTGTGAATGTGACATTGAGTACTTGTACATTACAAGTAATATTGTTGGGATAAAAAATTTTTTAGAAAAATTGCCTTCATATTCTTGCGGATTATATTATACATATATTACTACAAGTTATGCAACGGTAAACTGGAAGTTTACTAATTTTGTTGTTTGGCATGACTGGTTAGGCCATCCCGGTTCTATTATGATGCGAAGAATTTTAGAAAATTCTTATGGTCATTTAAAGAGTCAGAAGATTCTTCAAACCAAAGATTTCTCTTGTGTTGCTTGTTCTCAAGGCAAATTAATTATAAGACTATCACCAATGAAAATTAGTACTGAATCTCCTCAATTTTTAGAACGTATATATGGTAATATTTGTGGACCTATTCACCCATCTTATGGGCCATTCCGCTATTTTATGATTTTAATTAATGCATCAACGAGATGGTCCCATGTATCTTTATTATCAACTCGCAACCTGGTGTTTGCAAAATTACTTGGTGAATTGATTCGGTTACGAGTACATTTTCCAAATAATCCTATTAAGACAATGCGTGTGGATAATACTGGTGAATTTACATCCCGGTTTTTTAATGATTATTGTTTGTTAATTGGAATTAAAGTTGAACATCCTGTAGCTCATGTTCACACACAAAACGGTCTGGCAGAATCGTTTATAAAGCGCATCCAGTTGATAGTGAGACCTTTACTTATGAGAACTAAACACCCAATATCTGCTTGGGGGCATGCTATGCTACATGCCGCAGCACGAATTTGTATCAGGCCAAAAAATTATCATGAGTATTCTCCCCAACAATTGGTTTTTGGTCAGGAACCAAATATTTTCCATCTTAGAATTTTTTGTTGTGCGGTATACGTTCCTATTGCTCCACCACAATGCTCAAAAAATGGAACCTCAAAGGAGGTTGAGAATATATGGTGGATATGAATCTCATCAATCATAAAATTTCTTGAGCCAAAAACTGGAGATTTATTTACGGCTCATTTTGCTGATTGTCATTTTGATGAGTCAATTTTTCCAATATTAGGGGGAGACAATAAATAGTTGGTTAAAAATATTAGTTGGAATAAATTGTCAATATCTTATCTTGATCCTCGTACAAGACAACGTGAACTAGAGAAGTTCAAAAGATAATTCATTTGCAACGATTAGCAAATTAAGTGCCAGATACATTTACTGACTTAAAACGTGTGACTAAATTATATATACCAGTTGTTAATGCTCCTGTCCAAATTTAGTCCCTGGAAGACCTTCTACCACAATTAATGAGTTACGGGCGCAACAAAACCGTGGTAGACCAATCGGTTCTAAAGATAAAAGTTCTCGTAAACGAAAAGGAGCAAACATTCAAGATGGCGAATTCGAGGTTGTTAAGCTCCCTAAAGAAACTTTGGCAATAAAAGATCCCGGCATAACAGAAAATCAACTTCCTAAAGAAGTTCAGGTAATTAATTATGTTATGACGGGACACAAGTGGAACGGATGTACAACTGTAGTCGACGATAGATTTGTCTATGCTGCAGCAGTTAATATTATAAATAAAAACGAGGAACAAGAACCAAGTTCTGTAGATGAGTGCAGACGAAGAAATGATTGGCCAAAATGAAAAAAATGCTATACAATCGGAATTAAATTCATTGGCAAAACATAAATTCTTTGGACCAATAATGCACACACCTGAAGATGTGCAACCGGTAGGATTTAAATGGGTATTTGTGCGAAAAAAAATGAGAAAAATAAAACCGAGAGTTATAAAGCATGTCTCGTCGCACAACATTTTTCCCAGCGACCGGGTATTGATTATGAGGAGACATATTCTCCAGTGGTGGATGCAACAACGTTTCGCTATTTGTTAAGTCTGGCAACAAGTGAAAGACTAGAAATGCGTCTCATGGATGTTGTGATAGCCTATCTATATGGGTCACTAACAAGCCGTCGTCAGAACTAGTCAAATAAATTCACCTACTTAACACTAGTATAGCGGAAAATAGGGTCGTACCCACAGAGAAGGAATACTAATTACCAGGTATAAATTACTCCTATTATTATCTAGATAAATGATGATCTCAAATTTATAAAATTTAAAATTACAATAAATAAATAAAATAAAAGCAAATAATATTAATTCAAATAATCAGACGAAGAAAACCTAGGACATTGGGTTCACCTACCGAATATTTGGTTTGGTTCAATTCATAAATATCTGACTTTTAATTTCCATTAATCTCACAACGATTCACCTAATTAAGAACTATTCACCGTCGTACTATAATTCTCTTACTCTAATTAATCATATGACTATTGTCGTGACTATAGGAAATAACTAAAGCACATTAAGAACTTAAGAATCTAACATTGCGAAGGTTGTGTTCCTACTGTCGTGGTTCACTACCTAAGTCCAATATTCCCATGAACTAATATTCATTTTCAACTGTCATTCCATCAATTAATATCTTTAAACATGCAAATAGTGGCCAGTTACAAACATGGAATAAAAGCAAGAATATTAAATATTGATCAATCAAAAACTCAAAGTATTATGAATCAAATAAACCAAATAAATCCGGTGGCTACACCCAAGCCCTAGGTTAAAAGAATTTAGCCACTAAACATTATCAAAAATAATTCAATAATATTTAGAGACATAATCCTAAAACAAATCTAAATTAAATAATTAAAACAAAACACAATAAAACCCAGAAGTCTCGGCTGCTGCTTGGTTCAAGTCTGATGGTGAGGATGCGTGGATGGTGAGGCTTCAGCAAGGCTGAAGCTCAAGGTGTGGCGTGGAGTTGGTGTTGATGGTGAAGGGCCGAGAGGTGTGAGATTTTGGTGAGTTCGGTGAGTTATGGTGTTGTAGCTAGAGTTGCGTGAGGTCAAGGTGGAGCAGCGGAGGGAGTTTTGCATCGGCAGAGGGGGGCTGTTTTGATGTGAGGGTGGTGGTGTGTGGGAGTGGAGGGAAGCAAGGTGGAGGAGGCTTCGCAGAGTGGCGGTGATGGTGATGATGATGAACAAAGGGAGAGATGGAGGATAGGTGGCTGGTCGGCAGAGAGGAGAATTGCAGCAGCAGGGAAGGTGGAGAAGATGGTGGAGATCGACAGAGGAAAGACGTAGGGTTTTTTTTTTGTCAAGTTCGGTTCTAAAAATAAATCCCTAATCCTACTTCTTGGAGAGGAAGAAAACTTGTTTCCCAAATAATATTGGGATTAAAATTCCTACCCAATTCCAGTCCCAAATCAACCGCACAACCTTAAGCTCTCGGCCAATTTCCATAAACAAGAACTCCAAAATT